CGCGGCGCCGGCCCCGGGGCCCGGCGGTAAAAGGGCTGCCCCGCCTCTGGGGCCGTGGGGCGTCAAACCTTGCCTTCCCCCCCCGTGAAAAAACGATGGTGGGGACAGCGTTCAGTCCCGCCTCCTTCTGCGGGCCCTCGGCTCTCCTCAGGGAGTGGGGTGGAAGCTGGCTGCGCACGACAGACCTGGCCCTTCCCCTCGTCCCACCTGCTTTCAGAGAGGCGTCTCTAAATGGTTCAAATATATGTTTCATCACGTTATAAACATATGTATGAAAAGTTAACATATATACATCGGGAGGGGGGGAAAGCTTCTCATGGATAAATGAGATTTAATTGTGGCCAAATACTCCAGAAAGCCTCGTTAGACTGGGCCTGGCTGAACTAAATTTACCAAAGATAATTGAAAGAACCTGAAAGCAATACCTCCGACAGAAAGCATATGGCAGAAAAAAACACTGTGGATTAATTTCTCCCCATTCACGCCTTCCTCCGGGTTTCCCAACGTGCTCCTGGTACCTGAGACCATGTGAGCGGTGCCTGGCGCTGCAGGGAGCGGAGGGGGGCTCTCTGCCATCCCAGAGCTAGTCCCTACACAGCTGGTGTCTGAAGGCAGTATCCCTCTTTTAGAAATAAACTTGCATGTCTTGGGTTAGCAGTCGGATGGACTTTCTATTAAGTCTGCTGTCGAACTTGTTCGTACATTAGTAAGTGCCATTTCCAGGCCTCTTCCTGGCAATTCTTGTGTATTACTAATGCACAACCAGTTCTTGACAACTTTATAGCACAAATAGCTTCAAATAGCAAGTAGAAATTAAGTAAGTAAAAGATGCCAGGCAAGATCCCTTGCAATCATGCAAGTTGTTCCTTTTAACAGTTTCTATTACTTTTAAGAATTGCCTCTTCATAAGTAAAGAGTAATTTGTTTCAACTGCAATGAAACTCGAGACGAAGAATAGGGAGGCATCAGAAGTGTCCTGGCTGTGCCTCAGTATGTTGTGCCCGATGGTGATGACTTTAGGGAAGATACGGCTACGGCATGCAACAACACTGTTCTGCACATTCGCGATGACCGCTGATGCAGAAGGTCTGGGCAACCAGCAGATCACAACTTCAGTGAAGGAAGCAGTAGAGTACACTGAAATCCAACAGGATAGTCACACGTGCTCTGTGAAAATTACCTGCAGATATGTAATTGTGTATTTGGTTCTATCCTACCCTGTTTGGGAAGGGACAAAGTGTGCCCAGCAGTCCAATTTTATTCAACCTTCATCATCTTTTACCATTTTGCCTGTCTTTTGTCAAACACAAATCTTGTAAGTAACAATTTCTTGTTTACCCCTTATAAACATTTGTCTTTAGGGATTTTCTCAGTGATGTCTGATGTTTTAAGGTGACCATTAACCAGCTTTTACCCCCTTAAGTATACAGATTTTTCATGTAGTGTACTGATGAGTGACATTGCAAAATATTTCAGATCATATAGCTGAAAATACAGACTAGACCACAGATGTCCAAGACATCTATGGGGATGCATTAGTTCTCTAATTCACACTAGTACATTGTCAAGGCTTCAACTTAACCCGAGCTGACATAAAGGAAGACAAAAGTAACTCATGCTTACCCTAGGGCAAGGTTAGATAGCATACAGCAACTCCACGTATAAATGTTTTGTTTTTAAGAACACTTAGAAAGCAATGCAGAACAGAAAAGTCTTTTTTTCTGGCAATTTTAAGAGAGTCCTGATCTTGGTGATATCTTCTTCCAACAATTTCCATAAGCCAGCTTTATCCTGTTCAGATTTGCTGCTTGTTTCATCAAATGCCTTTTGAATTGGTATTATTGATTATTACTTGTGGATCTGTGTGAAAAATAGTTTGCATCTGCTCTCTTTTGAAATTTTTTTCTGCCTTAAACAGCCACAGTGTTTTTGGTTTTCCTCATTTTATTCTTTCCATGCTTTCACTCATTCTCAACAACGTACTCGAAACCACCTTTGTTACAAGGCTATGCAATACTTTGAGATAGGCTTCTCATAAGGGAGTTCTGCAGGGTCTCGGGGATATAAATTATAGAATTTAGTCATTTTTACCACATTACTCACAGCTGTTGTATCTTGAGCTCATCTGATCTACCTGATTCTGTGAACAGAGGCAGATCCCTTAAAGATCCAGTTTTTCCCCCAAAGAGCTTACAATCTGAATAGTGTTCGTTTTTCTTAGCACAGATTTAGAGAACAACAAGAAGGGAAACAAACCACCTAGAGCCGACTACCCCATCTGAAAATAAAATGATGCAGAACCTATTTTTAAGAGTTCTGCATCAAATTAAGAGGTAGACCAGTCTCTTGAGGCACCGGTGTTCGAAGCTGGACACAGAGAAAGATCTGCCACAGCTGAGACTCCGGAGGGAGACAGTTCCCCCGTTTCAGCAAATGCTGGCTTCTGCAGGAGGCAAAGAAGGTCAAAGACTTTGAATCCCTCATGTCTCAAATGTTGAGAGATGGTCGCTCGTTTTAATCAAAAGATGTATACTAGCCTTGCCTTTTTTTTTTTATTGGAAGTAACTTCCATCAGAAGATAAAATTTGGGCTCTGGAAAAAGTTACTTTACACTAAAGAAGCAAATCCTGCAGCATGTTATATTTCCGGCATAAATATTAGTTTTCTGTCTCTTATTTTGGGCCTGTATTAGATTAAGTATGACTTGGGCCACAGAGCTTTGAAGCTGTAGACCAAAGCTTTTATTTTTGGTCTAGCATTTAATAGGATCCAGTGAAACTGATTGATGCATTTGGGAAAATGCTTTTGATTAGCCTTTGTTGCTGAGCAGTGAGTCCCTCGGCAGATCCACTGAGCCATGGAGCATGCCGTACCCTCATGCCGGTCCTCAGTTTCATGC